ACTATCAAGAATCAAAAATAGAGATACTTTTTTCAGCAGGGAGTTTAGCCCACTCTGACACCCTAGGAGCAGATCAGTGCAGCTGAGCAGAAACCATTTAATCTGCAGATCTTGGATTCCAGCACTAGAGCACCTACAGCAACAAGAAAACAGACTTGCCTTCAGGAAAGTATTTGTGCTTGTAGCACTTGGGAGTTTTCTAACACAAATTGTCTCATGGCAGTTATAAAACAAAACAAAATTCAGCATTTTCACATACAGATAGTCTCAAATCTCTCTGTGACTTATTACCAAATTATCTAGTGAGCAAGTGCGGACTGAATAGGTTAATAAAACAATAAACGATCTTAATTTATTTTTATAATATTTATTTTCTTTTTTAATTCACAAAGTGGGAACCTCAGATAGTTTCTCAACATATGTGTTTCCTCAGCTGGGGTGATATCAAATATTAAAAAGCAGATAAAAATTTGGGGATAATCTCTCTTTTGAGGAAATGTATAAATAAATCCAGACTTGAAAATAATGATCCAAATTGCTATTAATTAAAAAATTCATAAAAGAAGACCAAGTTCATGACAAAACTAAACACAAAAGGTAAAGAAATCAGCATAACACAACAGCTTTATGAATGGACCAAGAGTTATTTTACCAAGAGTTTCAATATAATCTTTAGACTTTTTATTTTCTTTTTCACATCCCATAAAGGTTTTTTTTAGAGGAAAGCCAGCAAGCCAGCTACATGGTGCTCAGTTCATTATTAACTATCCATTCACCAATTTCCAGAATAAATACATGAATTAATGAAAATTCTATGGAAAACTGGTATTTCAAGGCTCTGTCCTGTCCTCAGTGATTGTATTAAATGAACGGCCCTTCTGTTTTTCTTATGCTCACAACATTTCTGTCCATTAATCCATTGAGAACTGCTTCAAAACTCTTTGATACATGATTTAAAACATTACTTTGTGAAAGCAGAAGTAGACATTAGGATTACAATAAGGTTTTTAACTTCATGTTCTTTACCTAGTTCTTAGTGTAGGAATAATTTATCACACTGTAATGGTAAAAACTAAATAAAACAAAAAGTCTACATAGTTTTGCACTTCTAAAGCCTTAGTATCTTAAGGGATGAAAGTTTTAGTTTTGTTTTTCCTACTAGTGGCAAGAAAAAAATTCTTTTGAGATGGGTACAGGGTGAGAAAGTCCCTGTATTGTCACAGTCAGCTTAATGAGACGATCCATTTAAGCTACTATTATGATTTCCCAAGAAGTTACCTGCAAAAGTAGCAAGGGAAGCTTCACATTCTGTTCTTTGGAACTAAAAAGAAAAAAATGGATGTATTCTATCTGATTCTTTCTTCCTTCCCTTATTTCTGATTCACAGCTTCACTGGTCTATAATGAAAGGAAAAAAGAGATGTCTAAAGTCTCCTGCAGTCATTGACTATCCAATTTAAAGAATAAAACTTCAAACTGTGCAGCCCTACCCATTCTACTGCATCTTTCTCAGAAGACATACTGGAAAGACTTAACTACTTGAGTTCTGCAGGCTTTCAGAGAATAGAAAACAAGCTGCTAGAGAAGTTCAGTGTGTGACTAGAGAGGAGAAAAAAAAAAAACAACCAACCAAACAAAAAACCCCCAAGAGCAACAGTACTAATGGTCCTCTTTTTCACATTTGAACATCTTCACCACGTATTCACAGCAAATTTTAATAAAACCCAGAAGTTTAATATCGCATAGGACTAACTTCTCACATGTTTCAAATTAAAAGAGACACCAGAAAGCAACAGCTTTTACTGACAGCCTCTATGAACTCATAATTAATTGCTATTGGACTATTTTCCTAGTGATCACCAGATCAGAAAAAGTAACTAGATCTTTATTTCTTTCTTCAAAACATTCCTTCCCTCTATTCTCCCCACTTTTCTCCCTAAACAGACAATGGGTTGGTTGTTAAAAGTGCTACTCTGTAAATGAAAGCGAAAGTTCAATTCCCTTGTCTGCCTGCAGGACCAAAGCCAGGGAGTGTCACCAGCGCTGTGTCACCACCTTCCAGCAGTACTGGCTTCATTTCAGCGGAGTGACAGCGCCGGCGTGTGGGCTCGGGAAGCAGCTGAGACCGGACTGCGCCCGCTCCTCAGGGCTACTGCCCTCGGCTGCTGCTTCGTGGCCATCAGCAACGGGCAACGTGAGGCAATACGTCATGTAACTCCTTCACTTTAGAACTGTTACACCAAGAACTAACTTCTGGAGGGAAAAAAGGTCTCTCGTATGACAATCTGAGAAGTTGGGCTTTGCCAAAGCCCCTTTTTATCTCCAAATAAAATAAAGGTACAGAGGAGGGAAAGTGATGGGGAGAAATAACAGCAACTCCATCTTCTTGAAACCAGCAACACTGGGGCAAGGTGAGATACAGCACTGCTTTTAAGTGCTCTGCCCCATCAGGTTATCTGAGCTCTGGGGGAAGCAGGAAGCATTTTCAGGCACCTCTTTGGCAAAATCAGATAAACTGGGTGATATTAACCTTCACCACGAACTTGGAATAAAAAGACTAAAGAGAAAGGCAGCAGTTCAAGTCAGAATGAGGTAAGACTGAATTTTAATGACCAATGCTGTGGATCAGATACTGCAAGACCTGGATTTCTCTCAAAATTCAAAATCTTAAAAAAACCCAGAAAATAATGCAAGTAAAACCATGGAGATTTCTTTTCAGAGCAAAATTATTTTGCACTAATCAACAGCTGAGGCTTCTTGTTGCTAAGGAGGAAGTAAGAAAAAAAAAACAAAAAAAGGTCATTAACTTACTAGCTCACAAGCTCACATACCAGCTCATATTACCTAACCTGTTCTCCAGGAAAAATCAAGCACATGGAATGTTTTGATAGCAAAGTTTTGCTCAAGTTAAAAAAAAAAAAATCTGGATTTCAAATGCATCGTTCAAACTTTATCCAAATGATTTACAGATAAACACCGTATCTAAAAGTGTACTGGTATTTAGACTGTCTACCAGTAATCCAGGATGGCCACTGATCAGTGCAATTTCTGGTCTAAGACTTAGTTGTCTGAAATCTTTCCAGGGAGCTGACATCATGGTAAACATCTGCCCAGGAGGTATGTAAGTCAACTGATACAAACCAAGATCTTTTTAAGATAATTCAGAATATTTGTGCTTAACATTTCTTTAGCCAATGAACAAAAGATTATGCAGAGTAACAGACACACTCAAAAAAAAATGGAAGAACTTTCATCATGAAATCACACAGAAGATGTTTCATGTTACAAGTCACACAAAGCTAACATTTTAAGTCTTTTGCATTACTGATAGAAAAAAAACTCTAATTATTGTAAAGAGTTGTAGTTTTAATTTTTTAAACTTGGAGCCAACTGCCTAGAATGACAAGAATCACAACAGACTCTGAGCCAAAACTTGCCTTTTCCACTTTCTGGGCACTTTGCAGATTTCTGCTCCTTAATGTTTCAACTCAGAGCCATTCAAAATCGGTGACTAGAGCAATTATTAGGAAACAAACAAAGAAACAAACACCCCCTCCTCTCCAAAACAAACCAACCAACCAACCACAAACAAAACCACAGAAGGAAAAGCATAAAACAGAATAAACATGTCAAATTTACACCCCCTTTCCCTCCCAGAAAGGACATGTCCATTTCATGAAAATCTCCTACATTTTCTGTTGGTGCACCACCTTGTAACTTGTGTCGTTTTGCCTAGATGACATCACAGGACAAAGATTCAAAGCCTTGCAAAAACTATAAAATGAGGTGGGAAAAGCCTCAGGATACTGACACAAGAAATGCTTTAGCCAACTCAACTCTTCATTTAACAGCACTTGTCATGCAATTCAGAATTATTTATTTTTCACACGTATTTTAAATAGGAAGCTTTTGCAGTTGATATCAAGTTCTAAATGAGGCAATGTGGTTCCGTAAATAATTTACTACTGTAAATGCATTGCAAATCTTAGGGTGCATGCCCTGAGAAATTTCTTCCAAGACATTTGTTACTTTGAAGTCTAACTGGAGTTTATTGCATGCAGAAAACCCCTCAGTCTTATTTTTTTGGCTGCCAAAGCAGACTGAGATAAAGACAAAAGTTGAGTAGTATTTTCCTGCATAACCTTAAGAAAAATATTTAACTTGCAAACATAGTCTTACTAAAAATGCTTTCATTTAGTTAGACCAAAGACCACTAACCGCAGCTCCGAATCAAGGATTTAAGCTTGAAGCTTCAAAGAACAAAGATTAGAAACTTCATACACTCAACGTCAACCTTAACCCATCTACCTGATCCATAATAGCTAGAAAGTCATACTTAAGTTAATGAACAATGACAAAAAAAAAAAAAAAAAGAAAAAATAAAATAAAAAAAAAAAAAAAAAAAAAAAAAAAAAAAAAAAGGCACCAAAGTATAAATCTCCAAGCACAAAGTATCTCTTCATTCCACAATATCTTTATGTTCATACCATTTTTGGATCTTTGTTAAGTTTTACTCTGTGTGGTGAATGACAAATAACAGCCACCTGAGTATAGCCTGTGTTGTGTTCACTTGCCAACCCCTATCTAAGAAGCCACGGCAGTTCATGAGCTATCCATCATGTCATGTGTATCATTCTACTCCTCTCAAGAAAGCTTAATTTTAGTAGTCACAATTGCAGGGAGTGTTAGAACTAGGAAACAAATGCTTTTCACTACACAGTTTCATGTTCAGACAGTACTAAACACTAATGATTTGGCATTCAGGATATTACCTAGCTAACAGAATTGAAGTTCAGAAATACAAACCATTTATTTTCAGGGTACCTCTGTGCCTGCTCACTCTTGGCACAGAACACAAATTTCAGCCCACTGCCAGAATGACGAGATAAATCAAGCCAATGACAGAAGACATATAGAGCAAAAAGACATTATTTCTTAAAAGAAATTTAATAAAATGGCCACAAGTAACTCAAACCCTGCAATTAAGATGTATGCAGAGATTTATGTATTTTGCTGTATTTTCTGAAGAAGAAACTCCATTTGTAAGTTTAGATTTGGCTGTCCTCTTTTTGTCTTCTTACACAATATTTTATAAGCTTCCATTTTCTTCTGCTTGTACAACCGTTGAGCCACTTCCCTTTCTTGCTTTCTTTTTTCTGCTTCCTGAAATTAAATAGATATGATTATGAAATAATTACATACCTTCTGTAGCTATGAAGCTATCTAAAAGCAGTAATGTTTCTTTTTGTAAAGGTACTGGCAATTAGGTATTGTACTGACACTAGAAACACCATTACTGTGCTGTAATTTTAGCAAGCAATTTGGGCACACCTCCACAGCAAGCAAGCTGACTGGCTGCTGTCACTCTGATGGCGTCCTACCAGACCAGGCAGGACATCACAAGCCAGACCGTAGGGCTGCCTCAGCTCCGCTGGCCGGCTGCTCCGCATAAAGCTTGCTCTGAAACACGGCACCATGCTGACCACACAGGCAGATGTTTCTGCAGGTAACTTACCAGTTATGGTTTTGTTTTCCATAACATAGCTAGCTTCTGTGATGTATAAAAATCAGTAAGAATGTTCTGTGCTGTAGAATGTCAAATTAACCAGAAATAACTCAGGAAAATATTACTATATAGAAATCTAAGAGGCTTTAGCCCAGGGGGGAAAAAACCTTCAAAGACAACATCTCTTCATTCAGAATGCTCCAGTTACTTTACTGTAACAGAGATTAATGTAATTCATTCCTTTTTTTTAATCAGAGTAGCAGTAGCTCTAACTTACCTGTAATTCACTTCCTATCCAACAACTGCTGTTCAGCATATTGTTGTAAACAACTTCAATTTAAGCGACCAACCAAATACTTACACAAAGCAAGAACATTCATCATACTTAGGTAGCTGTTACTTAGGTTTGTACTTTTTCTGATCTTTGCTAAATCCTGGTGCTTTTTTTATATAGTTTGGAGGCCTAAACTGTGCCTTTAAGCTTATTTCTTTTTCCAAAATAAATAACAGCAAATCCAGGGCTTTCTAACATATATGAAGGTATGATCATACCAGTATTCCACACAAATGATTACTGTTATTGTGGCATTTAGCTATTGTTTGTTTTGTCTAAATATCTTGAACAAGACTGAAAATGCTAACACCTTCCCTCAGGCAACTCTTATGTGCTGCTCAAAGACAGTTCCCTGCAGTCTTGCTGTTTTTTAGTTTGCTCCTGTTTCCTCTAAATAAGCTGGTTGTAACATCGATTTCTTCCAGCATGATCTGCATCTAATAAGAAAGAAGGTGTTGGCTGAACAACCACACAACTCAAACAGAATCACACATCAGCTTGCATAAAACTACTCTGATTTTCAACACAGCTAAACTGAAGAAATAATGTTTTATTCAGCTATATATTTATGTAAGAAACAGGATGGATATTTCATTTTTCATCACAAGATGATGGTATTATTACTTCCCCTTCTACAATATTTAAGAGGTCTAGTATAATCCACTGGGATATACAGATCAAGATCTAAGTTTTTCCTGGTGTACCAACTGACATAATAAAATCCCACTAACAGCAACTGCAAGACAAAAATAGTAAAAACAAAGGGAATGACAGCTTTGAACACCTTCATGCCTGAGTAGCACTGTCAAGTTGAAAAAGAAGTTGAAAAGATCTCTAAAATTTACCTCTTTCTTTCTAGCACGTTCAGCCATTATTTTCTCATACTCTTCTTTCGCCTTCTGGTTGGCTGTTTTCTTCTTAAACTTCCTTTCAGTTGTAACTGACCTGTAAAAAAAAAAGTACCTGTCCTTCAGATACAGACTATCACCAGGCAGACATAACCACATATCCTATAGCCACTGCACAATCAGAGCACAGTCTTCCATTTTTCACTGTTTTTTTGCATATTTGGGGAAGTCAATTAGAAATACACATTTCAGAAGGTTCATCCTTCTCCACAGAATGGATACCTATATACATAACTCTTAGATTATACCCTACGCCGTTACATGTCATGTAATGAGTAGCTCACATGAAACACAGCAAATGAAATTCCTCCAAAGTAGAGTGCACCCAAGACTGGCCTGCATACAACTTCTAGTAACACACATACCTTAATGGCTGGTTCTTCACACAGCTGACGCTTCAGCGATGCTTCATGAAGTTTAGAGTGCCTACAAGAGGTGGATTTTTCCCCCACCATATGAGCTCTTCTAGAAAAACTGAATGCACTAGCTTAGTGGTGGACTATCTCCTTCTGGTTCTGACATATGGATGCAACCGCAGAGACACGAGCACAGCCAGCTGTTAGCAGACTGCCTGCCAGAGAAGTCAGGCTGACATGGCAAGGTGAAAAGCAGTAACAATGCCTTTCTAAAAGTTTCTTCTTGAAGGAGACGGTGTACTATTGTACCTAATGTTCTGCAAGTAGAAACTGAAATTATGCTCCGTCCCAATAGCAATATAAAAAGCTGGCCGGGTATCTTTCACCAAAGAAAACAGCACCAGAAAACCAGTGCCATTTGTCTGGAATTTACTGTCATACTACACTGAGTGGATTTTTCTGGTTATTTAGTGCTAAATCATCTTTCTTTCAGATTTACAATAAAGTAGTGGCATACATGAAAAATACAAGCCTTGCTAGATATTTACAAACTGTTCACAAAAAGTTCAAAACTAGCCACCATCATCAAGGAGATCATCAAAAAGGAAAGAGAAGTTATTTGCTCATAATTTAATTTAGAAATACCACTCTCTTCAGGGAAAAAAAAAATCATTGCTTTATTCTCATCCCCATCTTGTGGCGAAACTGTGTAATGACATTTCATCGTCTCAAGTATTAAACTACTTAAACATCAATATTTACCAAAAATAGTTGCCTGTCTTATTCCACATTCCCAAAGAGCATTGGTCTACTGAAGAGACTCTACGCATCACACCACCTCACAAATTAGCAGTCACATTTTTGCAGAATTATTAACTCTAGTTTACAACCACAGTGACCATAGTTTAAACAAAATGAAGAAATTCTCTTTGGATTGAAAAATCATAGAATCTTTATGTTTGGAATAGATTTCCAAGATCGTCAAGTCCAAACATCACCCAAGACTACCATGAGTGCTAAATCATGTCCCCAAGTGCCACATCTTCATGTTTTTTTCAAACACCTCCAGGGATGGTGACTCCTCCCTCAGTCACAAAAACATCAGTCCTGTTTCAGACATCTGCATGAATTAAGCTGCCTACTCCAGACAAAACTCTACTTTTCTCCCACAGCCGGGCTCAGATCTGCCTGGCTTCACCACCTCTCCCAGGCATTCTTCCCAGGAAAGTTCAGATGTAGATACACCCTGAGATTCAGAGACTTATGACACTCCTTGTACTGAGGACGAAAGGGCACAGCATGCCTGGGTGATGTTTAAAAACCCTGCCATAACCATGTCAGACCTGAGTGACCATGCTTTTCATTTTGCCAACATACCTAACCAAGATTTAAAAAAAAAATATGTGTGTTTTTTTAAAGTTCATAGATAAAATCCTCCTAAAATGAGCCATACCACAAAAGTATAACTGCACACAGTATGACTCATTCTAGCAGAAAAACAGTGCAATATGAAGAAGACAACTTATCAAACCAAGAATAGAAAGATAATGTAAAAATGTTTTTGAAAAGTGGTATTCATTTAAAAATACTGAGAACTACTCCAAAGGAAAACTCTGTAGACTCAAAAACATACTACCTAAAAAGCAGGCTCTTATCTTTGTAGATATGGTAAGAAATTGGCCAAACACTTACTGCTCTTGGGATGAACCTTATCCTTAAAAGTACAGTGGTAACTGTCATAATATTTCTGTGGGATCAAGCCCTAAGCATCAACCCTTTTGGTTTCTGATTCTGATGCAAACACAACAAAGCTGTAAGTTTAAATTTTCCAATAGTCAGGAAAAACAGGAGAGACCTAACAGCATTTTGTTAGTAAAGCAAATCACCATACTGAAGTTCATGTACGCCTAAGATCTAAACCATTTCACTAGTGATGGAAACAATTACTTATTTTAAGAGATATTTAAAATACTTACTCTACCACTTCGTTAAGTTTTTCTTCCGGTAAAACTGAATCATCTGGAGCCCTGCGACGCTTCTTAAGCCTTTCTTCCTCAGCCAGGTAAAGATGTTTCAGGTGCTCTGGATACGTGTCAGTAAACTGATCATTCTGTTGTGAAGGGACCTTTTTTCCCTTTTTCAACAGTTTCCTGTACTGTCTTTCAATCTTTTGTTTTCTCTGAAATGCAAAGCCCCGTCCTGAAAATATAAGAAAAAGGGAGTTAAAACACCCCTGCACTGCAGTAGTACCAAACCATTCAACTGCTGCCAGGACCATTTGAATTCATTTTCTTTTCAAAACAGAAAAGCCACTACTACTTGTGCTAATTTTAGTAAGGACCAATCAAAAATTCAAGGAAAAAAAACAATGCTATAGATCTGTTCCCCACTGAAGCACTGGAGTTTGTTCTGATTTACTGAAAATTATCACCTAAACCCTTAAGAGAAGAGGACATTGCAAACGTGCTAATGAATGCACACTTGACATTACACACTTTTGCAAATGCTTGTCAAATCCAGTGGAAAGGTGTATCAGCATTTCATGACCCTGGGCGCTACCGCCCTGTCAGCCTCGCCTCTGTGCCTGGGAAGATCATGGAAGAAATGCTAAGGCACATGGAGGACAGGCAGGTAATTCAGGAGAGTCAGCAGGGCTTTACTAGGGGCAAGTCCTGCCTGACCAAGCTGGTGCCTTTCTGTAATGAAGCAACTGCACTGGTGGACAAGGGAAGAGCTGTGGACATCATCTATCTTGACTTTGCTAAAGCCTTTGACACCATCCCCCACAGCATCCTCCTTTCTAAGTTGTAGAGATGTGGGTTTAATGGGTGGGCTCTTCAGTGGATAAGAAACTGGCTGGACAGTCACACCCAGAGAGTGGTGGTCAATGGCTCGACATCTAGCTGGGCAAAAGTGACAGGTGGTGTCCCTCAAGGGTCTGTACTGGGACCAGTGGTGTTTAACATCTTCATCAATGACACAGACAGGGGCATCAAGTGCACCCTCAGCAAGTTTGGTGACGATACCGAGCTGGGTGGTGCAGTTGACACGCCAGAGGGACAGGAGGCAATCCAGAGGGACTTGGACAGGCTGGAGAGCTGGGCTCAGGTGAACCTCATGAGGTTCAACAAGACCAAGTTCAGGGTCCTGCCCCTGGACAGAGGCAACCAACATTACCAATACAGGGTGGGAGAGGACAAGCTAGAAAGCAGCCCATTGGAAAAAAACTTGGGGGTACTAGTAAATGAGAAGCTGAACATGAGCCACCAATGTGCAGCAGCAGCCCAGAAGGCAAATCAAATCCTGGGCTGCATCAAAAGAAGCGTGGCCAGCAGATGGAGAGAGGTGATCCTGCCCCTCTACTGCATCCTGGTGAGACCTCACCTGGAGTCCTGTGTCCAGCTCTGGAGCCCCCAGCACAAGAAGGATGTGGAGCTGTTGGAGCGTGTTCAGCGGAGAGCCACAAAAATGATCATAGGGCTGGAGCAGCTCTCCTGTGAGGACAGGCTGAGGGAGTTGGGGTTGTTCAGCCTGGAGAAAAGGAGGCTCTGGGGGGACCTTATAGCAACCTTCCAGCACC